GATGCACGCCCCCCCCCTAGGTTTGGATTTCCAACTAGGTTTTTCAACTCGGTCGCGACTTGAAAATTTCTGAAATTTTCAACTGCGCAGAGCGTTTCCAATTTTTTTTGGCCCGAGTTGAAGATTTATCTATTTCTCAAAAAAATCGATTTTCCAAACCGTAAGAAGCTCTGTTCGGCTGGGAATTGAAAATTTCAATTTGTAACTGGAATATTTCAAACCGTAAGAAACTGCCTCATAAGCTTCAGTCTCATCTTTCTAGACTATATCCGTGGAAATTTCATTAGCAAGACCCCTTGCCCGACCCGCTCTAAAGTTCTGATCTCGAGCTACAGTGCAAATCTCGTGGCGCCTCGAGTATGGTTCGGCGTGGAACCGCAAATCATGAGCCGTCCCCGAGTTTGCGCAGCTTCCGCCTCCTGTGGCCGGCAAGAGCCGGCCTTGACTGTTCCTTGCCTGACTCGCCATGGAAACGGCCGGTTGACCAGCGAAAGACGATCCTGCGTGCTGCGCGCCATCGTCTATCTTTTATTTTTTTTGTTCTTGAGTGGCCGTTGTAGACATGCGGCTGCTGCTGCGGTTGCCGTTGTTATGCTCGGAATGTGCTGCAATGGTCGTAAGGTTATCGTAGTCTGGTTGACAACAGTCTGGTCGTTCGTGTAGCGGTAGCTGTGCGCATCTATCGCGACGGCAAGCGCATTGAGTTAATTGTTCGTCCATCGTGCTTCTAGTCTAGTAGACTACACAGATAGTCGTGTTCTGCTCCGTGTTGCCACTTCACTCTATTACTGTGTCTTGTTGCTGAGCGCATATCGGATGTCGCCGTTCGCTACACGTGTTTAAGCCTGCGGTGGGCCAGAGGGATAAGAGTGAGTGTCTCCTCTAGAGATTATGCCTTGTCTTCTCTCTTTCCTTAGTCTGCCTCTCTCTCTGTCGCATTTCGCCGTTGGGGTCCCCCAACAACACCGAACGTCAACCGCAATCGTTTTAGAAAGGGAACACAACCTCACAGAAAGACTACCCGTTCGAGATTTAACCTCAGTCGAAAGAAAGGAATGTGGTGAAGTATTTTCAGTAAGTGGATTGAAACCGACTGGAGACTTGGCGTACTCTGAGTTATCAGTGATGCCAGTTGGTGCTAAGAACAAAAGAATCTGTATAGGCGGATACATTCTAAATTGTTTCAAATGCAAGCCGGCGAATATCGCCGGCGTGCTAGTCCCAAGCTTGATTTTTTTTTTCTTTCTTGCGTGTCGCCGGACACACCTTATTCGTCAACGAAGGAAAACAGCAACACGCGTTCCACTTGAAAAAAGAGCGGAGATTAACGGCGCAGGGAGGGGCGGGGCACCGCCGGCAGCAACTGACGCAAACGGAAAGATTTTTTACTCGAGCTATTACGTATTCATGCACACAGTAGTGCATTGAGCCAACAAAGTGCAACCCGAAGAAGCTGCCCCAAAATAACACCAACAACCCAAACCGTAAGTCGCCGTCCTCTGGACGCTTGAAAACTAGAGCATGTCATGTTCGGCCTGAGGGTCTGAAACACATACATGTCGCCCGAGTGCTCCCGAAAAGAACAGCCGCGACCGGCCCTGGACGGAGATAGAAGGCACTTCTCAGAATACCCATCCATGCGTGTGGCCCGACATAGTGGCATATCAATCTCTTGTAACAATCTCGACATGTCGTGTATGTACGTACGTACATGAACCCGACATGATAAATCGAATGGAGTCATGGAACTGCCCTGAATAGCGACATAGTCTCCTCTTGCCCCTACATGCTACTATAATATCGGGCCACCTATGTATGCTGTACGCACTTTTGGTGGTGAGGGACTCGATGCTTTCATCCATCTCCCCGCTAATGCGCTCACTGATGATCTGGCCAGTACACTATACCTCGCAGCCTGCTAAGGGTCAGGTCATGGGTTCGAGTCCCGGCAGAGTGAGCTTTTTTCTCACTAAGTATATCCTGGTCTAGGATGAAAGCGACGCGCTGCAAAGCTCGTTGTTAGTAAACCATAATCGACTTCGTAAGTCGCGAGGGAAGGGATTGCTGTACCCTTTTCGAGATAAAAATACCTCAGGCAGGAACCGCAGGAGGGGGTCCAGCCCCCCCCTACTATGTGACCCCGGTTGGGTCGCGCGGAACAGGGACCATGGGTAGGGATGATTTTTTTTAAAGCGGCGCCTCTGATTGGCCCAAACCACCGCATTTGAACGAAGCTGATTGGGAGTTTGAAAGCGGGTTTTACAAGCGGCACTTAGGATTAGTACAGGAGGAGTTGTAATGACGCGGGAGCGCCGGCGGGACAGGCGCGCGCTGCGCTGCACGCGGCAGGACTCTGCGCTTTGTCTGCGTAAAGAGGGAGGACACAGCTCTCTCACCGCAGCACACACACGTACAATCCACAGCACACGCACAGCACCACAGAGGATCTACCATGGGTCGCTGGAAAGGATCAACGCCTGCGGCTGGAGCAAAAAAGCCCGGGACGAAGTCATATGCAGAGAAAAAGAGCGGNCAGAGAGAAAGGACACAGCTCTCTCACCGCAGCACACACACGTACAACCCACAGCACACGCACAGCACCACAGAGGATTTACCATGGGTCGCAGGAAAGGATCAACGCCTGCGGCTGGAGCAAAAAAGCCCGGGACGAAATCAAACGCAGAGAAAAAGAGCGACGACGAGAACCAATCACGGCAGGCAGCAGCTTTCCGTACGGTCATGGGGTGGGCAGACACAACAACACGGAAGCGTCAGCGAGTCAGTTGCGAAGGTGCTACGAACGAAGACAACATGGGGAACGACGAGGAATGTGCGGGTGAGAGGAGTACACCGTCGACGATATCTGACGTCGGAAGAGGCAGTACGAGCCAGGCAGTACATGTCGTTCGTGGGGCATCAAATAACTCCGCAACCGCTTCAACCCAGTCGCCGTCTTCCAAGGGGAAAGGCAAGGGGAAAGCTCGTAGAGAACGTTGCGTAGGAGCAGCTGCATCAGAGGTAGTTGCAGCAGCAGAGGGGCCGGAAGCAGGAAGGACAGTAGAACCAGCTGCAACAGTAACAGCAG